TAGTTTGTAGATTGGTTGTTACCTCATCGAAGGCTTCAAAGATATCAATGCTAGGCTGGTGAATTGTGCAAACAACCGTCCTTCCCGTATCCACAGTGTTTCTCACAGTCCTCATAACAATAGCTGCTGCTCTTGCATCAAGTCCTGAAGTGGGTTCATCCATGAAAATGATTGAAGGATTAGCAACGAGCTCAACAGCGATGGTCAACCTCTTTCTTTGCTCAGTTGACAACCCTGTAACTCCTGGAAGCCCCACTATAGCATCCTTCAGATTATCCAGCTCTACCAGATCCATTACTTGGTCTACAAATTGCTGAAAAGATAAGAAAAAAATATTTAATTTTTAGTTCACCCTTCTATGATCCTTAATAAGAGAAGAACAAAAGGGCTATACTATATTGCTGAGTACTTACTATTTTTTCCTCCTCACTAACTTCTTTTGGTAAACGGAGGAAGGCAGAGTAAATCAAAGATTCACGAATAGTAACTTGGGGTGAATGAATATCAGTTTGTTCGCAGTAACCAGCAACTCTTGCAAAGGTTTCTTGGTTCTTGGGGAACCCAGAGATTCTAATATCTCCTTCAATGTAGCCACCAGTCTTTCTTCCTGCTAAAACATCCATTAAAGTTGTCTTCCCAGCTCCACTAACTCCCATCAGTGCAGTTAGCACTCCAGGCCTAAAGGAACTGGTTACTCCCCTAAGCAGTTGTAGCCTATCTTCAGCCACACCTTGCGCTTTCATTTCCTGTAAAAGTTATTAGAGTTAGAACTTACTTTATAGGTACACCATGGATTGTTAATGGTGCATATTATGAAGTTATACTAAAGAAGTAATCTGATCCTTACTGCAGGCATGTCGACGTAGTAATTAACAGTGTCAAAGGACATTGCAAGTGGTTGAAAAGGTAGAATCATTCCTCTTTTGGGGGCAACTCCAGTAGCTGAATCATTTGCTGAATCAGCTTTTCTTAATCCACTGGTAGCTTGGCTTCCCATTCGCTGCATTGCCACTTCTCCTGAAATGATTCACATAACACAAACCGTATTACATCTGTAAGAACATTCTTTTAGCCAAACCATCAAAGATTATATATTAACGTTGTTGGCTTTAGCACTTACTTGCATTATTTCCATCAGCAGTAGATAATGATCGAAGCATTGAATCTTTGTTGGACTGTGGGGGCCTTACAAGTCTAGGTTCTTCGTTGGTGTCTCCTCCAGTCTCCATTTCACTTGCATCTTCCTCAGAAATAATTGCTTGTTTCTTTCCAAGAGCTAGTGCACCAAACAAGAAAAAAGAAAAGATTTTTTAAGATAGAAAGTGAAATGAACAACTCGTTTGAAAGATTGATAAAAGTTAGAGCTCTTACGGTTAAGGTACATAAGCGCAAGGGTGAAGAGAACATTGTAGAAAATGACATAACCAAAAAGAGCTGCGGCTCCTATCCAGTACCATTCTTCTTTAGCAAAAACATCAAAGTTTCTTAGTACTGACAGACCCAATGTGGTACTTCGATCCGAAGATGTCTGCAGTCAAAGACATGTTCAAGTTAGAAACCAACGAGTTTCTTTTTAGGGAGTTAAATGCATTTTCATTTCTCAAATTAAAAAGCTTCTGCTATTTACCTGTGGATGCATCCACCTTGGAGCAAACATTTCATTCACAGCCAAGGAATTGAAGGCATATGTCAATGGTGACACCCAGTAAGCCCACACCCACCAATCAGGAATTTCACCTGTAACCATTGAGCATGCATGTGAGCACATTCTTTGAACAAATGTAATCTTAGAGACAGTTGCCAAATGCTTTTGCTTAAAAAATTTGGATTGTCACTCACGTTTGGGAAGGATGAAACCTCCAAGCAGAAAAATAAGAAGGAGCATGAGGGCTCCACCAGTGTTAGCTATAATCATTGTTCTGCACACTCCAGAAATGACCCTAAACATGCCAGCTGCCATTTGTTGTATAAGAAACACCACCAACAGTTGCTTGAAGAACCTAAAATTTAGAATAGGCTAGAAAAGGCTCACTTAGTAATTACAAATACATCTCATCATTATATGATGTTGATCACGAGACAACACAAATATGTTGTTAGGTTGCTATGTAAATGAGTTCAGATGTGCATTCAAATTATGTAAGAAAAGAAAAGAAAACGGATGAGTTTACCTGCTAGCTTCAGGAGCAAATCCTATGGTGTAGTAGGTGACACCCACCCAAACAAGAGACTCAAAAACAGAAATGGGAATACGTAACAAGAAATTGGGGAGGGTGTAAGTCCAAGCAGGTTGGAAAAGATGGTCTCTGTGCTTGTAAAACACGGGAAGCCTTCCAATTGTGAGTGCTAGCTCAGCAAAACCATTAAACATGTTCATGATCATAGAGAACAAAATTGCACCAATGTAGAGTGAAGCACCATCTTCATTACTTTGGTCCATTTCAGTCCTCAAGAACAATGTTGCAGATATGATTGCAATGATGATAATTTGGACTGTCTTGAATATGTAGACGAAGGAGTTCCTCTTAATCAGCAGCCACTCCTTGTCCCAACATGCTTTAAAAAGATCCATTGTGGGCACAGAGTTTTTACTGTATACAAGAGCTGCTTTATGTGCACTTGATTTATCAAATGCTACATTCAACTCACTCTCAAGCCTCATTCCAACATGGAACCGCTTGAACTTGTTTGCAAACTCTGTCACTGTAACATAACGGTATGGCCTGTTTTTGTCTGCCCAGTATTGCTCCTGGTCCTTCCTTGAGGTAACCTGTTCAAAATTTCCAATTAACATTGTAAACATACTTCCCCTCACTCTATTTTCTCAAATTAAGACACTCATTCTAGAAAGTTATAGTAGGAGAAAACAGACATAGTTTTTACTGAAGTATCCATATAAAAGTTTAACTCATCCTGATTTCTGATTGATTGCACATAGAAATTAAATTCAAAAGGTTTTGTTTTTCTGTTAAGACGTGTTCCATGATCGGAATGTTGACTTAAGTTATGTGCACAAGTTATATAGTATTTGTTAAGCTAAAGTACATAAGTCATATGATGTTTCATAAGGTGATTCTGTGATGAACACACCTCTTGCAAGAAATCAGCGGTTCCTTTTCTTTCGGGACAACGAAACCCACAGGACTCAAAGAATTCCACGATGTGCTCACGTGGGCCCTGGTATACAATCTGACCCTCAGAAATGAGGATGATGTCATCAAACAGATTGAAAGTCTCAGGAGCAGGTTGGAGAAGGGACATTAAGATAGTTGCTTCAGTGAGGTGCACAATCTGCTGCAAGCACTTCACAATCTGATAAGTTGTGGAACTATCAAGACCCGTTGATATTTCATCCATGAATAGTGTTTTTGTGGGTCCAACAATCATCTCTCCTGTATGATAAAATCAAAGCCATTCATTGTAAGAAACCATTATAGTTTAGATAGTTAAGCATTAGATGTGATCTTTCTTTGGATTGTCATAATCTATATATCTGTGTATCTATCCAAAAATTCAGCATATATAGTTCTACATATATATATATATATACAATGAGTTGTCATTAAATAATGTATCAGTATTAAAAAGATTAGATAAAAAAGTAAACTGAATAAACAAGAGTTTGGTTGGCAAAGTCCACGTGGCCACGTTCTCTTAATCTTAAAAAATTGTGTGGTTGAGAATAACTATATACAACTTGTCGCCACCTTCCAAACCATGATTAAAGACAGTGTTGGAAAATGAAAACATTAGGTGCAGATACAGATAAACTTTGATGTTCTCAGTAATGGCTGATTTTATTTTTTGGACATTTTAGCCCTTCTAACCTGTGGTAACACGCTTCTTTTGGCCACCTGATACACCTCTGTGCATTTCATCACCCACTATGGTATCCTTGCAAATATCAAGCCCCAGTATCTGTTTCTCAAAGGAAAAAGAATGAATTAATTATAACATTAAACAAATCGTTCGGCACTGTCACTACCCATAACTAGTTGATTATAAAATGTGTAATGTATGAGGGCAGTTAGGGTAGTTCACATGGCCACTAGTAATGCTCTGAAAGGGACCATCTTTAGCCAAAATATGTGTTGACACCAGTCAACATTGCAGGGTAGGTGAATTGAAATTTTTGACAAGAAATTGATATTTTTGTGGGGTAAAGGAAAGCTTTTGAGAACATTTCTTACTAACTCTGCCTCTTTTTTCTAAGAAAAAAACGCAAATGTTGAAAATTTTCAACAAGAAAAAGAAATCACTTACTTTGAGTGTGTAGTCGGTGATGAGACTGCTTTCTGTTCCCTCCATTGCAGTGGCCTACAAAGCAAGAAACAAATTAGAAAACTTCCATGGATTAACCAAAATTGAGATAATTGTTGACTTCTAAAATACCTTCATGAAAAGGTCAACATCTGCCTCTGGAAATATGCCAGCTTCCTTTTCCCTTCTAGCAAGCTCGGTTAATAGATCTATAATCAGATTAATTAAGACAAAAATTTAACCGTTAATACATTATTTAAAGGGAAAAGATGGGTTAAAGAGAAAATGTTGAATCAATTACCATATCTAGTCCCTACTCCTAGACATCTAGCTGAGAAATCCAGTGTTTCTTTTACAGTCATTTCTCCAACATGAACATCATTTTGGCTAATATATGCTGAAGTCTTTCTTGGCACAAACTCATTAAGTTTGTGTCCATTGTAAGTGATTTCTCCCTTTACCTGTTTCATAAAAACCAATAATTTATAATGTATCATCATTTGTTGTTACTATTCATCATCATTATTGTTATGTATAAAGAATCATTTTTTAAGTAAAAATGATGGGGTTGGAGTGTACCTTCAATTCAGGGTCCAATTTTCCGGCCAAGGCCAACAAAAGGGTCGTTTTCCCTGAAGATGGGGGGCCTAATAAAAGGGCCATCCTGCAGAGAAACCATACAATAAAAAACCATATAAGACCAACTATACTAAACTTGTTTTTATTTTGCTTAACGTTGTTCCAATCACACTATCTATTATTTGTATAACAACTTGGTTATGCTACCTTGATGGCTTAACAATGCCTGAGGCATTCTTAAGAATAGTGAGCTTTGTCCTCTTAGCTGTACTAATGCCACAGATACCAAAAAGTGATTCAAGAATGTTCAATGCAGAGTTTGGCAGGGTTGGCAGAGCTCTGCTGCCGACAAAGGAATTTGCCTCAACAGTCAAATTTTGGAACCTCACTTCTACCGTTGGAAGTCTGATCCCCACCCTGAAATTAGAAAAACAAAAAAAGATAAATAATTATTAACGTTGTACTATTTCAAAGTAGCATTGTTCCAAAGTCCAAACAATTGAATCATGTAACAGCATTAATTTGTCTAACGAATAAGTTGGCTCCAAAGATAGTTTCACCTTCAGCAGAAGCAGTTTCATCCACTCAAGTATTAGGCTTGAAAGAGCAATAAGGTACTGACAAATACAATATTAGGTATGATTTTAATTCGATGCCTACGTTGGTTTCACAATGTCAAGTTTGGACTATGACACTTGATTTTTTGAAGGTTTAAGAAAAATAGCTTTGACAAAAATCTTAACTAATGAAGTATTTTAGTTTAAACTACATCTGCATTGATACTCATATGCAGATCTGGTTCCCCTCTACTGCATAGCACCGACATGAAATTGTTCTTCAACTTTTCTTAATCTGATGGCAAAGGCTAATATAATGAAAGAAGGCACAAAGTATAATCATTAGAGAAAGTAAGACTTTCTAAACAGAGGGGGTTTCTTGATACTACTTGTTTGAGCTTTGAAGCCTGAAATCCTTTTTTCTTCTTGTGTGGGTTACATAGGAGGGGAAGTGGGAACAGCACATGTGAAAATAAAAATAAAAGTTAATTTGTCTACCGATTAAGTGAACAAAAAGAGTTCACCTTCATCATCAGCAATTTCATCCACTCAAGTATTAGGTTTGCACGAACAGTATGGTATTGACATAAAAAGCAAACATTAGGTATGCTTTCAATTCGGTATCTACTTTGTTTTGACAAATTAAAGTTGAAACATGACGCTTGATTTTCAAAGGTTTTAAGAGAATAGCTTTGACAGAAATATGAATTGGTAAAGTATTTAAATTTAAGCTACATCTGCAGTAATATTCATTTGTAGATCTGGTTCCCCTCTACTGCATAGCACCAGCATGAAAGTGTTCTTTCATTGATTTCATCTTGATCAAATGACAGACATGTTCAAAATGATAGTATGTGGTGGGATAAAATGAAGAAGGCAAAAAGTATAAATAATCATAAGAGAAAGTGAGGTTTTCTAAATAGATGGGAGTTCCTGGCTGGATTCAACAGATTGATTGAGACTAAAAACGTATTTAAATTTGTTTTCTGGTAAAATCATCAAAGGGTTTTCTAATTCTGTTAGAACTTTGAAGCCTCAAGTCTGGTTATTTTTTTGTGCGTGGGGTAGGGTAGGTGAAGAAGTGAGAACAGCACATGTGAAAGACTATTATCTAGACTCACTTGTCAATTCTGTTTCTGAACTTCCTGAGAAACTTTTCATTGTCTTCTTCGGCAACCTTGAAAATCTTGTCAATGATTTGTTGTCTATCATTCATGTCTAGCTTGCGAACATCAACTTCCTTGTGCAGAACTTGGTTCCCAGGTTGTTGCTCACCACCTTCGGCAAAGGTTTGGATGATGCTCGTCCTTAATCTGTCATAGGTGGGGAGTTTCTCTATGGCAGCCCATTTGAGAGCCTCTTCATCTTCATCAACTTGAGAAGTTCTGCGAGAATACCTTCCACTCGCAAACACTTCCTCCATTCTCCAGCTTGATCTGCTTATGCTCCTGCTTATGCTTCTGGTGAAATTCCCATCCATTTTGCCTCCCCTTGTTCTGAAACACACTCAAAGTTAAACTCCACTTAAGAACAAAACATGGCATCACTATTTTCCTTAAAGGGTTCTTCGCTAACTCAAATCAAGCACTGAAGGAACCAAAGACCATTTTTTTCACATAAACAGAACACCCTCTTATTCATTTTCTTCTCTTTCATATCTCTAACCAACCAAGAGAAAAAACATGAAAAAGTATACAAACTTACATGAACACAACAGGGACTTAAAAAATCCTCTACTCAAGGAGGTTGCACTCTTTTACGAGTATGATTCTTGTTCTCCCTCTTTCTTTGCTTTCTGTTCTCACTTCATAGAGTGATTCCGACCGAGATATTGGCCAAGTAAGCTGAACTGATACCAGTTCTGGCTTTCAGTTTCTAGATGAAATGAATATATAGGTTTATATATATATATAATGAGTTCGTGGGACAGGGTGGCTCTACAAGTTGTGCAAGAATTGTCGTAACTTGTAAACCTGTTCCTTTCTATCTTCCTAACAAAAATTACGAGTGCCCTTTTGCCATATATTATTCTATACATATATATATAATGAAAAGCACGTTCCTTGAGTTGAATGTAACCCTGGTAACAAAGCCCGTTCAAACATGACCAGCGTTTCCGCTTTCGCACCAGCTTCCTTATGAATGCGCCTTGAAAACATGTATTACTAACCTTCTTTTTGTTGATTAAAAAAATGATATCTTTTTCCTTCTCTCTTAGTTAAAATCTTGGTTCAAGCTACCAAAGGACAATTGTGCCACGTGACTCCTCTGGGTACACGGGAAATCCCATAATTTCGTACTCAGTTTGACTATAGTTTGCAGCAGAATGCAGTAATATCTAGATAGATTGCAGTAACTAGTGTCAAAAATTCAAATTTGTCGATATTGTCAACGGAATAGTTATTTTTTCTTATTGTTTCCACTGCAAACCAAATAATAAGGCATGAATTTTGAACAAACCAGATAATAAATGAATAAATTATCTTTGTTACATTCCGTTCTCATGAATTTTTTCTCTTTAAGGAAAATGTTTTGTGAAGATTTAGTCAATCAGTTTGTGTGAAAAGTATATGTTGAGAACAGAACAATAGCAGATGAAGTTCGACCGAACAGAATGAGTAGGAGGAGGAATTGACATGTGAAGTGTTTTGGGACGAAAGAATGTGTCTTGTTTGACCAAGTTTTGCGCGTCACTGCAGCGCCCTTTGCAATAATTGGTGAAAGAAAACAAAAGGTCTTTTATGGCTGCTGAAGTCTAAGGTAAATTGGCCAAGTGCTTTCCACCACCCCTGCATGTATATTTCAAACAGTTAACCACCGTAATAAATGCATAAAAAATATAATAATTATGTCTTTAGGTTTTTTTTATAAGATTAATTGTCATTCAGGCATTTTATTTTCTTTTATTTTGAGAATTTATGGATTAATTCATTTATGTAAAAGTGTTTAAACCAAGCTAAAAATGTCGGAACATTACATCAACATCATTAACTAACAACAAATTTTAGAAATAAAAAATAATTAATCAATATATTAATTTATTTAGATATTAATTTATAAATTAAAAAGTATTGATATTTAAAATATTTTTTTAAAAATAATTTTAAAACTAATTATTTTTAGAGACTAATTTAGACTTTAATTATTTTAATACTTGGACTTAGAGTTCAGTGTATCGTACAAATGTTTGATCAATTACAAGTTAGATGAACAATCACAAAGTCATCAACAATTATAATCCGGACTATCAATTAATAGACCATTAAAATGGATAGTCAACTAACAGACCGGACAACAAGCAAACCATCCAGACAATCAACTAACAAACCGAACGACAAACTATCAAGTCGGACGATTAACTACCAAGTCAATAACAAATCTTCAACTTGGTGACAAATTACCAGATTGGACGGCTAAACAACAAATCAAATGACTAATCACCAAATTGGATGGTCCAAATAAGACCAAAGTAAATCAACTCTACAAACATTTTAATTAATGTTAAAGCATGATTAGACATGTTTATGTCAACCTTAATCAAAAGCTCATCGAAAAAATTTATAAACAGATGAATTTGAGATAAGGAGATTGGTTGTGGATTAATTACACTATTATTTTTTGTCTGAATTGATCTAACTTTAATATAAAAATACATTTTACAAGTATCATCACAATAGTTTGAATGTATAAGAAACTTCTCAAATTGGACCTAACGTAAAACTTATGAATGAAAATTTATAATTCGAATAATTGGTTCTAAAATTTTACCCCGAAACTCTAAACACAAATAATTGTTTCTTTTAGCAAATTACATTAATTATAATAAACTTTGTCAAATTACGTAATCACCTATGTATTTTCCTTTCCACTGCTTACTTTCTTAATTAGTAAAAAACGTTACATTTAATACTACAGGAACAATATTCAACAACTAGAAAAGTCATATCAGTTATCAGTTTCAAAACCAATACTACAAGTAAAGCTATTAAGGTGGGTTGATCATGAGTTCAAATTGCTGAACAAAAAAAATTATAAATTTTGGTACAATTAGAAATCTAACTTGATCTGTATTATCAAATTAAATAAAATCTTATTTAATATAAAAATCAAACAAATAAAAACTCCATATATAAAAAGACTTCACTGAAATAAATTTAATGTCGGAGTATTTTTAAATCACAAGTTGTCTATTGTCATAATATTTTAAAAAAAAAAACACATTCAAACATGTAGGTTCTAAAAAGAAATACACCATTTCTTTGCAAAACCTAACTTATTAACTCACTTTTTAATTTAATTAGTTAATTTAAACTTAATTTGGATTCGGTCCTTTGATTATGTTCTTGGGATTTACTCAAAGAAAAGTCTTTTGGAGTAAGAAAAAATCATACGAAAATCAAATGTGGTGGGCTACTACATATCTTATCTTATGATACCAAGATTATCCAAAACCCTAAACTTTCGTAGGATTCCAAAGAAAATATCTCTTAGATATAGGGAAGTTCTCACAACATCTCAATCGTGGTGGGGTGATGATTAGGTTTACCTATTAATTCATGTAGTATGTAATTAATTGCAACACTATATTTTATTAAAGAAAAAAATAATATCACTATGCAATTCAATATATTTAAGTTTATTAATAATATTATAATTATTTTACCTGTGAAGCTAATCATAATTTTTTTTGTTGAGATTTTATTGCATTAAAATAATCTATATTTTCATATTTGTTTGTTACATCAAATATAAAT